CTATTTCTTTTTTGTTTTTGGAATAATCTTTCCCATGTACTTTCCCAATAAAGTAAGAGGAACAAAAGATAGTATCTTTATAAATTCCCAATCTAAAGAGTTTTGTCTTATATTTATCCCACAAAGACATTTGTATTCATTAATTTTATCTTAATTCGTGGGCGCATATTCAGCCATGTCTATACAGCTTCTGAAAAAGTAACACCAAGATAAGATAAAGTAATTTTATAAATATATATAGGTGATGTTGCTGAAAAAGCTACACCATAATGTTTGATTGGTTCTTGTAAATGGACCATACAGACTTCTCTTTATTTTTTTTTTTTTTGTTAGATGACTGAGTGAGTAGTAACGCCAAGGTGGTTGAGGGCAGAAGGAGATGATTGAGTTAGGACAACCAGATAAAAAGGTAGATAATCTACTCTTTCCTTAGAATAAGAGACAATTAAGCTTTCCACACTTACCTGCATGCAAAGAAGATTCTTACTAGTTACATCCTTTTTTTATTTATTATTTGAATCTTGCACAATATAAAGATATTAGATAGATAGGCAGTGTTCAAAGCTTCAAGGTGTCATAGGCAACGTCCACTGATCCAAAAGGAGGGACAGAAAGTAATTAAGTTGCGGGTTCCATAAGCAAGCAACAATTACACACCCTTAAAAGTGTTAAGTCATAATTCATATTGTCAAACACCCCCTTAGGCCCCTTAGGCCCCATGGGTTTGATCATATGGATTATATGCATGAGATTCTCATTACATGAATTCTATTTCAACATTTTGTTCTGTTTAATGTCATATTTATTATTTATAATTAGTGTTTGGTACCGTGGCTGTTTTTAGTGAGATATTTTCCACTGTAAATAACAGTGCAATACCTCATTAGAAACGGTTTGGCAATGTTGCTTCCATGTAGGATAGCATGCAATGGTTTCACCTACATAAGAAATATGTTAAAAAGGTTGCATCAGCAATGTTGCTGCCACGTCACATCATCATTGTGAGAAACACTAACCTCTTGTTTGAAACACCTTTTTAGTGTTTCGAGTGGTTGTGAGTTACGTGGATTCTTAGTAAGTTTTTTTTTTTTTATTTTTTTCAATTTACTTAAAAAAACTATTGTTAATATTAAATAGGATTATTTTCCAACTTTTTCCGTTAAATGTATTTATTAATCATTTTTTGACACCCTACTGTCTACATTAAAACTTTTTTACAAAAATTTTAGTATGTTGTTAGTGAAAGATCGTCCTCATTATGTAAAGACATCCCGAAGGCAAAAAGGTACACTACATTAAATAAAGTTGTCACCTAAAAAGGTAATGCAAAGTGATGGAAATTAGGTCAATGGTTAGGTTTCTAAATATTGTAGCACAACTTGCTTTGATGGAAATATACGTCGCCATTCACTTGGCAAATAAATTATAGGTATGGTTATTTAGTCTTTACATTTAAATTTTAAAGTTTAATATTAGGATTTAGGGGTTGAGAGTTTAGGCTTTAGAATTTAGGGTTTAGGATTTAAGATTTAGAACTTAGATATAAAAATCAAGATTCAAGAGGAAGACACTATGATAGGAGTCAGGCCCAGTCACCCACATAAATAAATAAGTAGCTAGAAAAAAGAAGTTAGGATATGCTCCTCACACCAACCCACAACACATCACAACTGCACATTCGGAACATCTCCCATACTTGTGTGTTATTATTCATGAAGAGATGTTCCCAATACAGGGGCAATGCACTTTGTGATGAGCAAATTTCAATTGAGAAAAGAGACCCCAATCAGGTAAGCACAATGTTAAATACTAGAAAATTCACCTATAGAGGCAGCCATAATTGCCTCTTAAGGCATAAGAAGCACCTCTAAAACAAATAAGAGGTGGGCAAGTGAGCACTTAAAAAATATTTTGACACTTGTTCTTTAAAATACCCCACCCTACCCTTGAAAAATATTAAAAACCACTTTTGATAATTGTCAGAATGTTTATTAAGTGCTCATTAAACATGCTCACTATATTGTGAATACTAGATCCGGTCCCCACTATCAAGGTCATGGGAGGAAACCCTATAGCAATCTACTTAATTATAAACTTAAAAAAGAAATGAACCAATAATGTCAATTCTATGAACTAATTGTATGCTGTTTCCATGGGGATAGCATATTAGTGTTTTTGAAAAATAATGGCACTGAAAGAATCAGTAAATTTATAAGGAGAAAATTCTCGATTATTACCCTATACTTTGGGCCAAATGTCTTTTTGATCCCCACTTTAAAACACGATTCAATACCCAAACTTTCAAAACATGTCAATCCAACACCTACCATTAACTAGTCATTAACTTGTGAAACTTCAAAAAAATTTTGCATACATGGTGGCCGGCCTCTGCAAATCATCAATTTTCACACAGAAGAACTTCTGTGTGCGAAACTGCAAATGCAATATGTCACCTAATTGAACTACCTTCTTCCCATCCTTACATATGGCAATATGAGGGGTGCGGCCGTGCGGGTGATATAATCAAAGACCAACCACAACTGTACTAGGAGAAGCGACAAATTAATAAACTTTTTTATTTGTGTGGTTAATTTAACAATTGTACTTTATGCGGTTAGGGTTCTTGATTGCAAGTTGCAACTGCAATGATACAGAACTGACGTCAATTAAATCATTCAAATATAGAATGTATTTCATCATAAATTCCATAGGACTTTGGGGCAGGTCGAAGTATTGAAAGAGCTAAGCAGAAGTAGTTCATTTTGACTTAGTTCTTGATTGAAAGTTGACACACACAGTTTTCAGTTTTCTTACAACAAGCACCTTGATAAAGAAAACACCTTAAAGGATAAACGAAGTGATGGAAGGTTGCCGGTTAACCTTACACACCCATTTATCCACCAGTTTTTATATGGTCTGCGTCATAAAACTGGATTCCCATCGGCTGGAAATGAAGTGGCAGAAGTAGATACTAGAAGATTTGTTAGCAATATAACTTGAGCTTGATAAAAATAATAGATAAAATCATGAAGCAGACTCATTCTAGTAGCCTAGCTCTTTTTGTTCTGTTCTTTCCTCTTATTCTTTCCATTTCACTTCTTGAACTGTCATAAATTTCAACCAAGAACTATAGTAAGGAACCCATGATGAAAAGTCAAGCTTTACGGACGACAGATAGTTGAAAGTAAGAAATAATGCCCAAGCGATCAAATAAGAATAATATTACAGACCAAATGATTATATTGATGGGATGCATGGGAAGAGAGGGGAGGTTACCGTGCAAGCTTAGAGATGACATCAATGAATAATGTCCACGAGCATGGAAGTGAAAGGGCAAAAGACCTTAAATGTGAAAGGTAAAAGGTGTTAGTATAGGATGAGTGGATGGAGATTCCGGATAAGAGAAAATAAGAGTCAGAACAAGACATTTTGTACTTCTTTGGGCCCCAAAATTGTTTTACTTTTTCTTTGTTCAGGTTTCACATGCACATCTCAATGAATACACATGGTGTCTTTGAATCTATATTTATCCTTTTTGTCTAATATCACCTGCTAGAGATCCAACAGTAGAAATTTTTATTTATAAATGGGTCATTGTTCATTCATTCATTTGATCTTATTCTCAAGTCTCAACTACGGCAGACTGGAGAAGAATGGTGCCAAGATAAGTAAAACATTCATGTAATGTCTCCTATGGAAGCAGTTCGATTGAGCTTGTTCTTCGAAGCACTAAAAGAAAAACAGCATATTGGAAAACCATGATGAAACTCAATTTAATTACATGTTCTGGTGACGTATTAGAACAATTTAAAGAAACGAATAAAAAAGAAAAAATTAATCAGAAGCTTTCTTTGTTTTTTGATTGACATGATAAGAAGCCATGTTTTGTTTCATGAGAAACGTTTTCCAAAGTTGGTCAAAAAGGTTATTTCCGAACGGGATTCTCTTTGGGCCAAGGAATTTATTAATGCGAAGAGCACTTAACAAAAAGCAGCAAATCCCAATAATGCGCCCACAGATCTTCCACATTCACGTCAAGATAAATCCTTGTCTGATCCAGCCCCGATCAGTTGACAGCTCTAACTCTAATACAGGTGGGAATGATACAGTAAACCCTTTATGGAGCAGGTTATGAATCCAAATACCCAATCGAGTCAGAATTATGGATAAATCGACCTGCCAGTCTGGTTCCCATCATCCCATACTCATTGTGCTCACCTTAAAATCAGTTCTGGAATGATTCTTGAATCTTGATCCAATTACGATTCAAAAATGCTGCATGGACTAGATTCATGAATATTGAAATTTGGCATTGGGACTTCAAGGGATCAACTGCATTAACTTAGAAAAAGCTAAGCCAACCTGGCTTTGGCCTATCCAGCCGGCTCAAGCCAGGTTTCCACCAATGCAAGGTCTAGGGAAGGATAGGTGTATGAACCCTCACCACCCAAGTCGCAATGGAGCAACCCAACTATTGCACCGAGCAACCAAGACCCACCCTTTATACAGTAGCTTAAATATAGTTATTGTTATTTTTGTTTTGGTTTAGGCTCAGTTTGAAAGGAGTACAAATACAAATATGTACAATACAAATGCATATAAAAACAACACAAAATACAAGGTTTTGCACTTTACATGTTTGTATTTGTATTCCTTCCAAACTGAGCCTAAGGTATAGGTTACATGGTTGCATTTTTTTTTATTTTCCTTACTTTTTATACGGTATGCAACTTTCCCTACTTCACTATCTTATATATACATTAATGTTTGTATGTAGATTTGGATGTAAAAGGAGAAGCAAGCAAAAATTTAAGCCATATATAAAAAGAGACGAATATACAGCTACATATCTGACTATCTGAGAGTGAAGTTGTTTTGACCTCCGTTACATCAAATACATAAGCAGCCTTCTGAAACCTGGAACTACGTGTAATTTCAAGCAAGTTCCGAACTCAGTACAGTTGGGTTCCGCTCATTAGTACTAGATTAAAGACGTAAAGTGTAAGAATGATTTGTTATCAGTTAGCATTTTTCATGAATTAAGTCTACTTAGGAGTATAGGGATTAAAAGGTAGCATCATCCACTTACATTTGCATCACAATAAATAAAGCCCTTGAAATCCATTAATCTCTTCCCATTATACACTTAACCAGATCCAGAATGCGAAAATAATCATAAAATAGAGCAGAATGTTTACCCTCGAGCCCATCTCTACTTACCCGATTCCCACCCGCAAGGTTATTACAAGGGCTCCCACCGACAATAAGATCAAAACCACCGAATGAGCTTATCAATTTTTCCAGTCTATCCCCATTCAGTTGTTGCACATCTGCAATATCGATCAGATTTCCCGTTTGGTTGGTTTGTTCCCACCAACTACGGAAAATGTTTCTGTTTGTTTCTGAAATTTCAACTGAGACTACATTCTTCAAATGGACCCCCAGCCGATGCAGAGCAACTTCAGCACCACCGATCCCTGAAAAGAGAGATAAGACGGAGATGCCATTTGGGAACATGTTCTTCAACACAGACAGATGATAGGCCACTGTGTCAACCTGAAATAAGTCAACCTTAACAGCAGACATTTATATTTATATAAATAGAGAGAATGCAAAGAGAGCCGAGAATGCCAACCTGAAATGAGTTACCCAGTGCTTTGATTCTCTCTGTCCGACTGATTCCACCACCCCTTGTGTGGTTCTTTGGAAATCCTAACAACATCTCCATCTCATCAGGCTCAAGGGGTGCAACCTTGTTCCTCCCAACCCAAACCAGATTCCACCTTCGACATTCATCAAGCACATACTTTTGAACTTTCAAAGGTGGCTCACCATCCCAGCCATCAAGGGCTTTGCGTATCCTCTCTGTCAGTCTCGCACTAGCAGTTACCGTCTGTAAGCAATTTAGCTTAGTTCTCCAATCCCACGAGGGCCACCATTTCTTGGTCAGTGGCAGTGCTTCATGAATGGTAAGTGGTGGAATTGGTAGAAGAGGATACCTGTTGTGGATTGGGAGATTGTGAACATAACCTCTTTTTCTAGCAGCTGCACAGAAATGCTTTGAATCAACAAACTCTGGCTCTATGTCATACAGGAATCGTGAAATTGTCTGCCAGACTCCTTTGGGAGCAAGTGCCACATTCTCATAATAAAAATAGGGAGGTCCAATAGCTGCCTCTGGAAGTGTTCTGTGGCTCATGGCCAATGGTTCACCTGGGACCCCAAATCCAATCATTGGGTTTGGGAGACGAATTGTATCCTCATCATCTTCATCCATGATCTTCTTCTCACAGGCCTTATGCCTTTTCCTTTCCCACCTCTCATCTTCAAAGTACTCCCTCCTCTTCCCTTTAGGAGATTTGTGGAAATGGCTTGGTCCTACCTGAGAAAATTTAAAAGATGATACCCTGAAAAGATCTTCTGATTGTACCTATCAGAAATAAAGGCAAGGATCAGAAATGTTTTTGATAATTCAAACTAGATCTACAGTTAAAAGTTTATCTACAAATTACTGTACACCAGAATCTAAAATGAGAAAAAGGAAGCACCAGATCTTCAGCAGGTACCTCATCTACATAAGCATCATCAACTGCTTTTGCCATCTCAGCAGCTGTTATAAAATCAGTCAGCTCCATAATCGAGGAGCCTGGACCTGTAAACATTTCAACAAGTAATAAGAATAATAGTTGGAAGAAGTTCCAAGGATATTTACATGAACATCACTTGAAATATGGAGTTTCTTTTTTTTTTATCAGCAAAGATTAATTATATTAATAGATCAGTACTAAAAATTAATAAGTAGAAAAGCCCACCTTGCAAATCAAAAACTTGGCATGACTATTAACACCTAATCAAGGGCAATGAACTAGGGAAAGGGAGAGAACAGAAAATAATACCATAATTTAAAATTTAGAATTGCAGAAACCTAATAAAGAGATGCTGATGAACAGAATAAGGAACCTAGAAGGACATATGTCTCAATGTTACCAAGCTTAGCAACCTAAGAGGGCGTTTGACAATGACTGAAGTTACTGATATTAATTAACTATTAAAATTTCAAGGGTATAGTAATCTACCCAACCTTAACTTCAGCCATCAAGGAACCCACAACCTCCTCAAAAACCTATTTGCTAGAGACAAAGAAGTTTTTCAGTTCAACAACTTCAGCTGTTATCAAACTGCCCCTAAGGAACCATTACAAGGCCATAAATGTCAAAATTTTGAATAAAATGTCAGACAATTTAGCTCAGATTCATCTGGGAAGAAACCGAATTGTAGTAAAATTTACTTTACGCCCATCTCTTTTTATAAGATATACCATTTCCAAGTCAGATGTATGCATGTTTTAACTGTCATCTTCCAACATTTATTGCAAGTTATAGCTATTAGATTATCAAATTTAGCCCAGATACACACCACATCTATCGATAGCTGTTGATGCCACATCTATAGGGTAGCCCATATCAACCAAAAGCAATAATTTCTTCTCCTTGTCAGATAATGGGTCCATGCTTTCCTGTAAAATAAATCCGTTAGAACAAATCTCCTTGGCTATAAGGTTGTCAATGGATCAGATCACGACCTGGATCCGTTTGAATGAAATTTATTCAAGATATTCAAATCTTAAATGATGTATTCATTTATAACAAATCAAATTAGGATATATTTCCAATTGAAATTCAACCCAATAGATAATTGTATACATCTCCAAAATGTAGTCATTTAGATTTCTTCGCACATTGTAGTCTTATTTGTTTACTCAAAAAGAGAAAAAAATTTGTAGGTCTAAACCCTATAAAAAAAAACATTCTAACTTCCTTCTTATAAGGATTAGCAATATACAAACCAATCCAAGCCCAATTCATGTACAATTGAAACCATATTTGGATATATGAATATATCATTGGATTCTCAAATAATAATAAGATCCATTCCAAGTCCTACATGCTGAAAGCCCTACTGGCTACATTAAAATGACAAAAACCACAAAAGAGCTCCATGGAAGTGTCATACAGCACAGAAAATTGACATTATCAATTTTATTATTCTAATGAAATTACTTTTTATATCATTGCATTAATGAAGGCAGAGGGCTCACTACAAAAAAAAAAAAAAAAAAAAAAGATGGGCTATTTGCTCAGCCAAGGCATTGTTCTAATTAAATTATCATCTTTCTAGACACATAGCATCCCTGAACCTTAGGGCGGCAACTTTTTGCTAAAAATGGCGAAGGTTAGGTCCATATCCAGTCAATCCCTCCCAGCTTATTAGTTAATTTGGGCTTGGCTCGTAATTCTTGGATAGTTAGATCATTCTGGCATATATAATTTTTTTGCAGATCCTCAAGAAATCCTACACCTTCTAGTTGCTGAGAGACTAACAATTAGGTTTTATGGGTTTAATAGTATTCTTCTAACTGTTACATTAAACATGCCACTTTCCATGCATAAACAAATAGAAATACACAAGATATAATTGTTACTCTACTTGTATCTTTTTAACACGTCTAAAACCTACCAAAGTTTGCTTGAAGCTCCACGCTGAGTTCACAGTGCCACAAGATCAGACTATTGGATCCTAGAGTGTTCGAAAATAAGGCAAGCTCAGATGAGGTGGTGGTGAAAAGGACAGTAATGCTTCTTTCATGGTTGGCCAACCATGCCCTCTTTATAAGCAGAAATTATACTTCCTTTTTTGAACATGGAAACCTATTTGTAATCACATAATTTTCTTGGGTGGGTGATTTTATACACAATTTAGATGTCATAAAACATTATAAGTTGTACATTCCCAAAGTACAGTCCCATGTTCATGGGCTCCTTTTGTATCTCTTTTTTTTATCAATACAATACTGCACTGTTTCAAAAAAGAGGCATACATCAAAACAAATAAGGAGTTTCTGATAATCAACTTGACAAGCCAAACCTTTTCACCCAATAAGTACAATACTGTAGACTCAATTAGGGATGGCATTTTTCCCCATCCCCGACGGGGACCCGACTTCCCCAACCCGATGGGGTCAGGGATGGGGATTGTTTTGGCGGGGCGGGGACGGGGTCGGGGA